CGTCCTCCATCCTGATCCCCCTCTCCCCCTCCTCCCTATCCCGACGCCCTTCTTCCCCATCCCGACGTCCCCTCCCATTCCGTCCCCGCCTCCCCCTTTCCCCAGTCTCCGACCTCATCTCCAAACCTCTCCTCGCTCCCTTCCTCTCCCCCCTCCCTCCCTATCCCTACGACCGGTCTTGTCGCTCCTCCCTCCTTTAACTCTCCCCCCTCCCTCCCTATCCCGACGTCCTTCTTCCCCATCCCTCCATCCCGATCTCCCTCTCCCCCTCCCCCCCTATCCCGATGCCCTTCTTCCCCATCCCAACGTCCCCTCCTATTCCCGCCCCCTCCTCCCCCTCTTCCCCGTCTTCGACCCCTTCCTTTCCCCATCCCGATTCCCATTCCAATTTCCCCTTGCCCTATCCCGACGTCTCCCATCCCGATCTCCCTCTCCCCGCCCCTCCCTATCCCGACGTGCTTCTGCCCCATCCCGACGTCCCCTCCTATTCTCGCCCCCGCCTCCCCCTCTTCCCCGTCTCCGACCTCTTCCTTCCCCCATCCCGGTTTCCATTCCAACTTCCCCTTCCCCTATCCCGAAATTGTCCCGTCCTACCCCCCCGCCGTCCGCTCCCGATCCATATGGCCACCGTGCCGTTTCGCCGGCCGCTCCTCAATTCCGCGCCCGCTCCCTACCACCCCTCCCGACCCCTTTGGCCGCGGCGCCGTTTCACTGCCCGCTCCTACCATGGGCCCAGGGCCCGTCTGGACTCTTCCCAACACTGGCATCGGGTGCTCGCGTGGGACCGTCACACGAGACCCTCTATTTGCTTTATAGTATTAGAGATTTTATTGGATTGGAAGGAAGTGGGTTGTGGTCCCCACAGTTTTGCGAGGCTTAAGCCCCGATGAGCCCCTTTCAGGCCCTGCCAAGCAGTATGTCGGCCGCTCTAAGTGAAGGCAGGCTTGACGGGGCCTGAGGCCCCTATTTTGGCCACCACGCAACTCGGGAAAATTCAGGCAGTTGTGCAGCGCCAGTTGGTTGAAAGAACCCACGCCCTGGGCAGCCTGTTTGCATGTATCAAAGGCAGGCCCTGGGCTCGATACGGGATGTGGGCCAGACACAGGCCGATGGTAGTTGGGCGCAAGCAACCACCACAGGCCCTGGGCCTGAGTTGTTTGGACTGGGCCTCGGAAGCTTCTTGGGAAAGGCCCAGCGCAGCCTGGGACAGAACACACGCAGGCCACTTCCATATAGCAAAGGGCCTGCCTCCGCATCGGGCATTCGGGCACTGGCTGCTTTGTGCGCAAGCGCTGCTGCGCTATCGCCTGCCAGGCTCATGCGCTCACGGGCGAGCTGGAAGGAGCAGGCAGCCATAGCCGAGCTGCGCTGCTGTAAGCTGGATGGGTCGCAGGGTAGTCCTTGGGTGCAAGTGGCGTCTGTGAGTTGGGGAACGAGGTTGTGAGTGATACGAGAGACATACCTGGTGCTAGAAGCGACGACATTGTCCGAGATCTGCTCGTACTTCGGTGAAGCTGTTGACGTCATCCTGCGGCATTGTAGAGTAGGCTAGATAGGATCTGCCATCTGTAGTCTGGGCGCCGAGCGCCAGATAGGATATCAACATTGGTTCTTCGTTGATGATGATGATGAGACTATTCCAGCATTGTCAATTATGAGCTTTTGGTGTGTTCTTATTTGGTGAAAGTCGTGATGCAATTCTGCTGTTGGTTTGAGGTCACAACTATCTGGTGTTATGTGTATGATGCTGTTTGATTNAAAGTCGTGATGCAATTCTGCTGTTGGTTTGAGGTCACAACTATCTGGTGTTATGTGTATGATGCTGTTTGATTTCTGAAGTTCGCTATCGCTCATCTTCCTTGCAAGTTGGTATCGGAGTTGTGGTACGTTGCGCTCATCTGGCGCTTGTCTTCTGCCTATGCGGTACATACATGCGGTCTGCTTGGTGAGTGAGGCCGTAGGCGGTGTGTAGTGAGGAGGGCGGAGACAAGGAGTGGCGACCCAGGAGGTGAGGGGATCGCCAGGAAGGCTACGGTGTGTATATTGGGTGTTCGCAGTGTGATGAGAACTATCTGGTGGTGGATTGATGCTGAGGTGGAACGGCGAGATAATGCTGGTTGTGCCGATGCAGTGACTGGTCATCACAATCGCCATCAGGTCATTTGGTGAGAATATCTGTGGTTGGGGGCAGCTATAATGAGGTACGTTGCTCTTAACCTTATCTACCCTCTTCATCACTTCTTACTGTGAGGGTGTGAGTTCCATCTTGAGAGTCCTCTCATGTGAGGTGTCGTGTGCGCTCAACCTTGAGAGTCAACATTGTTCACGTGGAGCATCTGGAAGGAGAGGGTGGTGCTTTCTGAAGGGCCTTGGACGGAGCAGTGGGTCACGGTCACCATGCCAACCCACCGGGAGTAGAGCACGCATGCTTTGCTGCTTTGTCATTGTCTGCTTCTTGCGCTCATAGAGGGTTACTGAAGGGCAGGCCAGCCCTATGGGAGAGACGAGAACCGGGCGTCTATAAACAAACACCGGTTGGGGGAACCATTGGCTGCGATCGTCGTCCTGCTGCGACGTAAATAATTCCTGATGACGCTTGGGGCCAGTCGTTAAATTGCCTCTTGATCAGCCAATCAGTGTAAGGCTCGCTGCACGTGAGGATAACACACAGGGCAGGGCTGGCCAGCTCAGCAGCTACTCGGGGCACAGGGGTGGGCCGTGTGCACACCTTTAGTCACGCACGCCAAACCGGATTGCTCAGGGACGCTGGCGTCAAGTGACAATCAAGGGGAATTGGGGAAGGAGTAGATTCCAGGTGATAAGTTTGAGTAAGATCCCATGCTGCAAACAGACCCAACAAATGATGTTATTTTTATTTTGATTAGTTAGAGGTACTGCCATTGACATCTGACAGACAATATAGTTTAGAACTGATTTTGTTCATTGTGCTTTTTGTTTGAGAGTTGGTCAAAGTAGAATAGTATCATTTGTAGGAATCTGAACTTACCTGTTGATCCCAAATGTATCTACTCCGGAAAAGTCACCAATTAATTATCTATTTATTTTAAATTGGTCTGGGCATTACGCTGTGGTAGGCACCGAGAGTAGTCTAGTGCAGATTGTGCTCAGTACTGTAGCTTATGAGCGGCAGGGAGGACACTAGAGAGGACGACCGGATCTTGCGATCGGCCAGACGCCCAGTTGCCCATTTGGCATTAAGACCAGAGGGTGACAGATATCTGTTCCGCCGACGTAGGGAGAGGCAGCAGCAGCAGAGGAGAGCTAGAGCAGCAGAGGCTAGCAGGACTTTCGTAAGTGAAGCCGCAGCTTCGGTAGCCATGGCCACTTCTGCGCAGCAGAGTTCCCAGGCTAGCAGTTCAGGATTTGTAGGGTCAACGGTCGCGCAGACCCATAGTCAGTCAATTGGCGTAATGACAAGCCAACCGCTAGTGATGACTCCCGAGGAGGTCGCCATACAGCGAGCTGCTGATCGCGAGGCACAACTACAACAGGCTTTAGGGGAGATTAAGGCAGAAAAAGAAAGAATGATTAGAAGAAGAGCCAGGATGCAGCAGAGACAAGCGGGCGTTAGTGAGTTAGAGGAGATGGACCCTGCAGAGATGGAGGATGATGTGAGGATCATACGGTCGGTCTTGTTGAGTGTAGTAGAAATGCAAGATCACCAAATGGAGATCTTACAGGACATCCAGTAGAGTTTGGCTGTGTTAGTCGGACGAATGCAGGCGGCACCATCACCGTCCGGGCCCGGTGCCTGGCCCGTTGTACATCCTCCTCCCTTTGTCCCACCTGTGACTGGGGTATCCCCATATACAGCTCCAACATCGGTCTAGACCGTTTCCCTAGGCATGCCATTAGCAGGAGGGTTCTCAGCATGTGCTAGTTTACAGGTTCCTGTACAGACAATGTTCACCCAACCTTCGTCGCAGGTTGCCGTAAGTGTGCAGCATGCTGTCTCGCAGCCTGTACAACCGCAGGGTACACAACCCCTGCAGTCAGTGCAACAACCTATATCACAGGGCCCACATCCTGGAGTGATGTCGGGACCGGGACAAAGTGAGTGGGTACCAAAGACGACCATCACCGCTCCTAAACCCTTCACAGGGGATAAGAGGGGCGAAGACCTCGACACGTGGTTGAGGGCAGTGCCGGTTTATGTCAAATGTAAACTTACCTTGCCGCACGAGGAAGTGCTTGTGGCTGCCTCCTATCTAGAGGGGAGTGCAGCACGATGGTTGAGTGGTTTAGTGCAACTACAGGGGTACGGTCATGACTTTCGCGCTTGGGCAGCCCACCAGAAACAGGAGGACTTTCTCAAGATGGTGGAAGACAGGTGGCATGATCCTCAGGAGGCTCAAAAAGCTACTGACGCGATCCGCACACTGCACACGAGGCAGTTCAAGTCAGTAAGGGAAGCCACTGACGCTGTAGAGCGTCTGATCTGTGTCCCTGGGGTGCGCTATGACCCCGAGGTCTTACTCACCTCCTACCTGAGATGCTTTCCCATGCCTCTCAAGAATCAGTTGGCAGGTGAGGCCAACATCAATATGCACAACTTTCCCTCGTTTAGTAAGAAAGCCCTAGACCTGGAGGCAAAGATAGGGCATGGACATAATCCCACGATGGATGGTAGGAAGAAGTCACTGCCTCCCAATTGGAAGGCAAAGGGCCGTATTATGTTCGTCGACAACGATGGTTCCTCCATCGAGTTGGACGACGAGTTCCAGGCGGGAGTTGGTTCAGAGGCAGGCAGCGTAGAAGCTTCAGAGGGTGGAGTAGTCGCTGTCGTAGCTCAGAAAGGAAAGGCGACCGGTAGACGCCGAGGAGGTTCCCGGTCAAGGAGTCAAGTTGACCCCAATGCTCCTCCATGGGAGAAAGCGGGTCTCACTGAGGACGTGTGGAAAGACCGGTACACCCGACAAGCTTGCATTCGTTGTGGCCAATATGACCATAACCAATTCAAGTGCCGTAACAAAAAGGTGACCGAGAAGATCCCACCTACGGTGGGGCAGGCGGTAGGATCCTCTGCTTTCGTCCGTAACAATGTTGCCAACACTTCAGGCATTGCTCCGAGAAACACGTCGGGCCAGTAGGAATAGTAGCTGTTCCTGCTAGGGTCGAGGTGGTGGATACACCCTCACCATCTCGAGAGATGGCCCAAACTCCATCGCCGTCCCGCAAACACGTTCAGACCAATTGAGCCTCTGTTCGATGAATGTGTTTGAGTCCTTAGAGGAGCTAGAGGAGGAGTGGTCTAGATCAGACCCGCTAGCTTCTTGGACGACATTAGTTAAAGCCCCTAAGGGGGAGATGTTTGTCAGCGAGGTGGTCATTGGCGGCCGCAAGGCCGGGGCCTACTATGACACTTGCTCGACACGAAACTTCATTAGTCGCGCGTGCGTTGAGAGGCTGCGCTTACAGGGGCAAATGCAGCGCCTGAGTCGACCTGTGGAGTTGACCTGTGCCAACAAACAGCGCATGGTAGTCAACGACTACCTCCTGAATGTGGAGTGTTGTTTCTCGTACACAGGAGGGGAACTGAGACATCGCGTCTCGTTCCTGGTGAGTGATGAACTCCCCATGGATATGTTGTTAGGTATGTACTACCTCTCTGTGGCACAACCCCAGTTTGACTGGGACCGAAAAGTGGTCAAACACACTTTGCCAGGTGGAGGGACCGCCAAAATTCATAAGTTTAAAGCTAGTAGTCTGATTGAGTCCCACAGATGCATGTGTGCGGCCGCGTTCTATAATTACTATAAGCAAAATCAGGAGGAGGGTATGTATCTAGTTTATGTCTCTGCCACAGGCGAGCCGGTGAAAATGCCGCCGGAGATAGAGGGAGTAGTCGCTAAGTACCCTGATCTATTTGAAGAGCCGACAGGGGTTGTTGAGAGGGAGGCCGTCCATGCGATAGAGATTATCCCAGGGTCAAGCATCCCGAAGGGTAGGATCTATCGGATGTCTCCAGGCGAGCTTGATGAGCTTCGCCGACAACTCAAGGAACTCGTAGAAAAGGGTTGGATCCGGCTGAGTGTTTCTCCTTATGGTTCACCAGTCCTATTTGTACCTAAGAAAAAGGAAGGAACACTTAGGATGTGCATTGACTATAGGGGCCTCAATGCCATCACTGTCAAGAACAGAGAGCCCCTACCGCACATCGATGACTTGCTAGATAGAGTGCAAGGGTGTCGGTACTTCAGTAAGATAGATCTGAAGTTCGGGTACCATCAGATTGCAATCCAGCCTGAGGATCAACACAAAACCGCATTTCTGTCATCGTGTGCCTCGATGACATACTTGTTTTTAGTAAGACTGTTGAGGAGCACGTTGCACACTTGGACAAAGTCCTTAGTCTTCTGCGACAACACAAGTTCAAGATTAACGGTGAGAAGTGCGAGTTTGGCCGCACTCGTGTTTTGTACTTGGGTCATGAGATTTCCGCGGATGGATTAAAGCTCGATGACGCGAAGGTGGTCAGCATTCGTGACTGGCCGTGTCCTCAGTCTGTGACTGAGATGAGGTCTTTCTTAGGGATGACTGACTACTATCGCGATTTTGTGAAGAACTATAGCATAGTTGCCGCCCCTTTGACTGACCTCACCCGCCTTGACACCCCATGGGAGTGGACACACAGGTGCGAGGCTGCTTTCAGGCATCTGAAGCATGCGTTGACGCATCATGAGGTCTTGAAACTTCCTGATCCTGACAAGCCATTTATAGTAACTACGGATGCTAGCCAATATGGCATAGGCGCCGTACTTGCACAACACGAGGGGAAAAAGTTGAGGCCAGTTGAGTACATGTCCAAGAAAATGCCGTCTCAGAAGTTGGCCAAGTCCACCTCTGAGAAGGACCTCTATGCGGTTTACAAGGCTCTGACCTATTGGAGGCACTATTTCCTTGGGAGGTTCTTCATCCTCAGGACTGATCATCAGACTTTGAGATGGATGAGAACTCAGTCGGTGCTCTCTGACGCTTTGAAGCGTTGGATCGAAGTCATTGAGCAGTATGACTTTGACCCGCAGTGCTTGAAAGGGGAGTACAATAAGGTTGTTGATGCCTTGTCGCGTAGACCTGATTTCTCAGGTGCGCTGATTACCGAGTTCGATCTTACGGACGACCTTACTCGCTCTTTGGTGGAAGCCCATCGCGAGGATCAGTTCATGTCTGAGATCATACGCAGATTTGAGGCGAAGGATAAAAAAACTTCTGCCAAGTTTGAGTTGGTCAACGACTTGCTGTTCCTTGAGAAGGCAGGGAATAAACGATTGTGTGTCCCAAATAGAGAGTCTTTGCGTAGTTTATTTTTAGGTAAGTGTCATGATGCCACCGACCATTTTGGCTATAAAAAGACAGCAGCCAATCTGCTGCAGCGGTTCTGGTGGCCCACGATGATGCGAGATGCCCAACTGTACGTGGAGACCTATCAGGTATGTCAGAGAGACAAGCCACGTTCTCAGGCTCCTCTTGGGCTCCAGAAGCCCCTTCTGATTCCGGAAAGGCCTGGTGAGAGTTTGTCCATGGACTTCATGGATACGCTGATCACCAGCAAGAGCGGGATGAGACATATCTTTGTCATCGTGGACAGATTTAGTAAATATGCTAGGTTGATAGCCACGCCGGAGACAGCGAAAACCGAGTACGTTATCAGACTGTTCAAAGAGAACTTGGTAAGAGATTTTGGTCTACCCAAGTCAATCGTGAGTGACAGGGATGTCAGATTTACAAGTGAGTTGTGGAAGGCTGCTGCTGCCGAATAGGGAACACAGCTGCAGATGACTTCGGGTAATCACCCCGAGGCCAATGGTCAGGCCGAACAATTGAATCGCGCTGTCCAACACCTCTTGCGGCATTACATCAAGCCCAATCTGGTCGACTGGGACGAGAAGCTTGCTCTCATCGCCAGTCTGTATAACAATGCTGTGCACAGCGCCACCGGAGTGAGCCCTAACAGTCTGCTACTGACCTTCAAACCTAGACTGCCTCTAGACTTCTTACTACCTGAAAATCAGTCATCTGCTGCACCCAATACTTCAGAATTTGCATACCGATATGAGCAGAAGATGCAGCAGGCAGTGGAACAAATGCAGAAGGCTCAGGCGGCAATGATAGAATCTGAGAACAAACATCGCCGCCCGTCTGCATTTCAGGTTGGGGACAGAGTCTGGGTTAAGTCCTCAGAACTGGGACAGGAGCACGGGATTTCCCACAAGCTCATGCCTCAGTACTTTGGGCCGTGGGAGGTCTTAGACATTGTCGGGACTGATCCGGATGGGCCGTCTTATGTAATCCGGATCCCTGGTCATCTCCGCACTTATCCTGTCTTTCATGCCTCCAAACTTGCACCTTTCAAGCAAACAGACCAGTTTCCTTCTCGCCGCTCAATGCTGCCCCCAACCATGGATGGAGAAGTGGACATTGATGATATCGTGGATCACAGGGAGCTGCCAGTTCCAAGACCAACAGGCAGGGGACGTCCTCCGAAACCGAAGCTGCAATACCGCGTTCGGTTCCGGCATCATATTGATCCAAAGGAGGACCGCTGGTTCACCCGGGAGGAACTCATGCAGACCGCTCCTCAAGTCATAGCCCAATACGAGAAATCTCTGCAGAAGGGGAAGCGCCAGATCATTGAAGACTGAACTTCTCAGAGGACTATAGAAGTTATGAAGGAGGGAATGCGAGGCTTAAGCCCCGATGAGCTCCTTTGAGGCCCTGCCAAACAGTATGTCGGCCGCCCTAAGTGACGGCAGGCTCGACGAGGCCCTCAGGGCCCTTTTCTGGCCACCACGCAACTCAGGGAAATTCAGGCAGTTGCGCAGCGCCAGTTGGTTGAAAGAACCCATGCCCTGGGCAGCCTGTTTGCATGTATCAAAGGCAGGCCCTGGGCTGGATACGGGATGTGGGCCAGACACAGGCCGATGGCAGTTGGGCGCAAGCAACCACCACAGGCCCTGGGCCTGAGTTGTTCGGACTGGGCCTCAGCCTACCGGGGCCTACCGGGGCCTACCGGAAGCTTCTTGGGAAAGGCCCAGCGCAGCCTGGGACAGAACGCAGGCAGGCCACTTCCATATAGCAAAGGGCCTGCCTCCTCATCGGGCATTCGGGCACTGGCTGCTTTGTGTGCAAGCGCTGCTGCGCTATCGCCTGCCAGGCTCACGCGCTCACGGGCGAGCTGGAAGGAGCAGGCAGCCATAGCCGAGCTGCGCTGCTGTAAGCTGGATGGGCCGCAGGGTGGTCCTTGGGTGCAAGTGGCGTCTGTGAGTTGGGGAATGAGGTTGTGAGTGATACGAGAGACATACCTGGTGCTAGAAGCGACGGCATTGTCCGAGATCTGCTCGTACTTCGGTGAAGCTGTTGACGTCATCCGGTGGCATTGTAGAGTAGGCTAGATGGGATCTGCCATCTGTAGTCTGGGCGCCGAGCGCCATATAGGAGATCAACATTGGTTCTTCGTTGATGATGATGATGAGACTATTCCAGCATTGTCAATTATGAGCTCTTGGTGTGTTCTTATTTGGTGAAAGTCGTGATGCAATTCTGCTGTTGGTTTGAGGTCACAACTATCTGGTGTTATGTGTATGATGCTGTTTGATTTCTGAAGTTCGCTATCGCTCAGCTTCCTTGCAGTTTGCTTTCAGTTTCTGGGACCACTGACCAGCTCAGGTTGACAGAAGAACCTTTTTTGTTTTTTGTTTTAAGGATTTGAACTTCGGTCCATATTTCAACGGGTCAGGGGTGTACCAATGAAGATCATTTTAATGATTTAATCCTTTGAAGAGTTCACACCAGGCTGTCAGATACTCCTGTCTCTGAGCACAATCAGTGCACCTGCAATGACCCGGGTTCAAACTCCAGTACACATACAACTGGATGTGAAGTCTTTTTTTTTTTTTTTTTTTTTTTTTTGCGTTGGAAGGCTCCATCTGTTGGTGGGGAGCATCACCTGCTGCAAACCGGGTTCAGCGTCCCATTGTCACACATTGCATTGTGAGGAGTAAGACAGCTGGAATGCTACTACCTACGCCTAGTTCCTGCTGTGGTTGTTCTGAGCCAGCTCTGGATATGCTACATGTCCAATATAGAAAGTACCCAATCTATTCTCCACTGGCTATCTTTGCTGTAGAACCCCGAAGATGGATTATCTGATTGCGCCGACGGGTAGAGGGAGACCAGGCCATCCCCGGGGCCTTTCCGCCAATGGGTATGCAGGCTGTCTATATGTGTAGTCCGTGTGAGCCCATATCCCGCTTCGTTGCTGCCGTTGTCCAATAAACTGCTATCTGCCTTGAGTTGCCTTTTTGTTGCAGTCCCATCCTTATTTAGGGAGAGCACCTGCTGATGTACGCTAAAACCGTCTGGCCTAATGAGATGTTCAGGGCAGGGGGGAAAGGAGGTGTGAGGGTATCGGGTGGAGAGCCCTGGGGGAGGGGAGGAGGGGGAGAGGGTGTTGGGGTCGGGGAACCGAGCGGGGGCGAGGGG